ATGTATGTATGTATGAGGAGAGTAATAATAACACCGGTATAACTTTTACTAAGTATTACACCGCTCAATAACTTTATATTAAATGAGAATTTTGTAAATTCAACCATTAAATTGAAAATTCTTTACTCTTAAATCATATATACAAAATTTTATATTAATGCAAGATGATTTAATACTTCATTCTTATAAAACAAAATTAACGTAATATATACATTTCAAAATATACTAAAATATGAAAATTTTGATTACCTTCACGTTGTTGTTCAATTTTAACAAAATTTGATATAAACATATAAAGTGATATGAACTTTTAATTTAACAGTTGGATTTACAAAATTCACATTTAATATAAAGTTATTGAGCGGTATAATACTTAGTAAAATTAAGTTATACCGGTGTTATTATAACCCTCCTCTCTCTCTATATATATATATATATAGAGAGTTGTGAAGTCCCACATCGGTTAGGAAGGAGAACGAAGCATGCCATATATATGGGTGTGGATACCTTCCTTGTGTGGACGCGTTTTGGGGTGGCATGCGTGCCATTGCCAGAAGCAAAATCGTGAGGGCTGCGGCCAAAGCGGACAATATCCACATGCGGGTTGCTGAATCCTCTTCTTTCATTTCCACCATTTTAATTTTTCTAGTAGTGTTTATTGATCAACTGGTTTTTGATAAATAAATAAAAATTGATTTTGAAAACAAAAACAAAAAGGTAGGAATATTTAATCGTATGAAATCTGCAACTAATATGAACTTTTAATCCTTTCTTTTTCTTTCATTTTGGTCCTTTTTACATCCTTACTCTTGAATAAGATATATTTATCAATGATATATAATATATGCAATAAATTATAAAGAAAATAATAAATTATCAGGATTAGATCTAACAGATAGAGTTTTTCTCTCATAAATAAGGTTTTAATTTCTACTCTTAAAGTTACATATACATGATACATCATTGTATTATTTTTTAAAAAAAGTTATAAATTAGTCTTTTAAAAACTTAAAGTGATCATTGAATTTCTAAATCAAATATATAAAATTTTATTATATTTCTATTTCTGAAGAATTAAAGCCCTTAATTACAAAAACAATATTAGATATAATTAATAATAGTACATAGTAAACTTGTCCAATAAATTTTATGTAGTTATGTATTTATCTACAAAATAGACGTGTTGAAGTGTGAATGTGCTAGATTCTTTGAAAGGTATTTATTGTCATATTAAACAGCCCATGAATAAGAACATGATACCAATACTCTTAATTTAGCAATCCAGATAAAACCTTTTGAAAAGTTGTAGACTTAAAGTTCATTCCTATAAATATATTCAATTTTCACAACATTTTATCCTATTTATATATATCTTGGTTTATTTTTAAATGACATATATGTAGTCCATGATGCTATTTCACTTGGACAATTAATCTTCTATATTTACAAACTTGGAACTTAGTTTGAATATAGGACAATCCATTGGAAAGTGATTTTTGCAATCCTTATATAAATTATAGGATGACAATTACTTTTGTTGGTTAGGAAGCAAGTGACGTTGAATTGAACCCATCTCAGTTTAAAATTCAATTTTACAATTCGTTTATTGAATTGATGAATTAAAAAAAATAAAAGTCTCATAAATAAATAAATAAATTTTAAATTTCATATAATTTGACTCTTTTGTTCATGATTCAGCTTAATAATTTTTAAAAATAAACTTTATATTTAATTTTATAATAATGAATTTAAAAGTAAAGATAAAAATTGCAGATGCTCATAAATCAGAAGAAGTGACTGTCTCGTCCAGATATGTTCTTGAAGTCCTCTTGATTAATTGTTAGTATACTATTACCATTCTACTATAGTTATTAAGCTTTGATGCCATTTTGGTTATTTTATAAATTAATATGATATTAAATTTATGCACGCATTGAGTGAACCTTAGTTTCCCGTTTGAGATTCAATATAAATGATTAACTTTATTTAATCATTTGTATTGAATCTTGAATTGTCTTGTTGGACAGTTTGGGAAAAAAATTTATACTTGTGTGATATGTGTCTTATGTTATAGGAGATATTGGAACAACGGGCCAAAGAAGGATCTTTTGTTTTTCATGGACGACAAGATATACTTATTATTGCCATTGGGAAGCCTGAGCACACAGGTCAGGTTCGAGCAGCTGGTAAAGGTCATAACTTGCAAACTTACTTTGGATGACAATCAACTTCACACTCATCTACCTCAGTGGATCAATTGGTGGAATTGAAGGTGTCTCAGGTTGTAAAAACTTTGAAAGAGGACATGGAAAGGCAAATGAAAGAGGACATGCAAAGGTAGCTACAAGAGTATATGCAATAATTTAGCCAACAGTTTCAACAGAATACTCTTGTGACAGAATCGGTTGTTGAAAATGTGAGTACAAAGGGATCATGTGCAGCTATTGATCCCTCTGCTACTGCCATTAACCCTTATACATCTAATCAATGTGGTTATTAGTTGATGGATCACTGGATCCTGTGGGCATAGGGAGGATTCACATCTTAGGGTCCATTGTGCACCATCAAACCATGAGAGGTGATATGGTTAGGGTTTTAGTGTTGCATGTTAGACACCCAAAGGCTAGAGTTCTTGTGCCCACAGAAGAGGTTCAAACTATAGGACAGGCCCTAAATACCTTCCTTTAGTGGCCTCGTAAGTTGCTGAAGGTTTTATCTATGGAGGTATGTTATTTAATTATTTAATTTTCATTTATTATTATTTTATTATAATGTAGTATAATATTTCGTACTTTGTTGAATAGGATGTTGTTGCCCCACCAAAGGGCATGTTTATCCCTTCTAGAAATCTACCTCTAATAAAGAGACTGTGAAAATTAGTTGCAAATATGGAAGATGATGATCAACCCAAATAGATTCCTTGGGCTCCCAAAGTGTTTGGCATACCTAGTAAAGTACCCTTGTATATAAGTCAGAGTGACATATCAGAAATTACACACGGGCACTGTATGTTGAACATATCAATTTTACAGTTGTGGATATTATAAGTATTTGAATTAGTTTTAATTTTGTTTTGTTGCTTTTATCTACGTTTTTTCTAACCTTGTAGATTTATCCATAAGTTAAGTGTGGATAAAGGGAATGATAACATTTATGGATTTTTGGAACTCGAATCAATCCAAAAAAGTGGGAACAAGGTAGACGAAATACAAGCTTATATCCAGAATTGGATGTTTGACTCAAATAAAAATGTTTATTTGGCCCCTTACTTTTATGAGTAAGTCTACTTGTATATAATTTATTATAAAATTTTAAAAAATGTATTCTTTATTACTAATTATTTCTCAATACAGTGCTCATTGACAACTTATAGTTATTTGTACTATGGAGAATAGATCTTTATGCTTTTGTTCAATGTATAAACCTCCTCTTGCAGACTTCAAACAGTTATTAGATAAGTAAGTTGTTTAAAAAAAATACTTTGATTTGTTGATTATCATTACATTTTGTTTTAAACTATAATAATAATAATAATATCATTTTATTATAGGACCATGGAAGGATATCATATACTTATGGGTTCAAAGTCGAAGAAAAAAATGTAGTGGTTATTTGTTAAAGTAATTAATTTTATTCTAATAATGATATTTTTCTAAGGTATTTCGTTTTGAATTACCATTATTATTGAAATTAATTATTATATTGTTTTTGCAGTCTCATAAATAAATAAGAAACTATGAGTGCGAATACTATGTAATGAAGGCAATGTATACTATTGTTAATTCACAAATAGTTTCTGGGTGGACTGAAGTAAGTTTTACAATTTTGAAAATTTTTATTTTAAATTTACATTTTGTCATGTTTTATGAATACTTCTAATTGTTTTAAATTTTCTTTATAGATATTTATAGATCGATCACAATTGTCATCAGAAGACATCAACATCATTAGGGAGCAATGGACTACATTTTTCATTAAAACACTAACTAGTTAGGACTTATTCTTTATGAAATACTTATTACGTACTTATTGTGTATACATTATTGTATTGAATATGTTTCCAAAAAGTTCTCTTGTATTTTGTATATATTGTGGACCATTGAAACTATATCAATTGCCTGGTATTAATTTACAAGTTTTGTTCAGGAACCTTCTCAAAACAAACTAATCATTTTAAAAAGAATTCACAACTTTTAAGATCGGTCATGGTAATAGCCGATCTTAAAACCAATCTTAAAAGTCTAATTTTTAAGATCGACTATTACAATGACCGATCTTAAAAGTCCAGCTTTTAAAATCGGCTATTAGCATGACCGATCTTAAAAATCTAGCTTTTAAGATTGATAATTGACATGACCAATCTTACAAGTCTAGCTTTTAAGATTGGCTATTGGCGTAACCGATCTTAAAAGTCCAACTTTTAAGATCGGCTGACGACCGATCTTAAAAAGTTTAACTTTTAAGATCAACTCTTTTAAGATCTATTAAAGAATTGATCTTAAAATTAAAAAATGATTTTAAAAGTGTTTTTCCACTAGTAATATATATATATATATATATATATATATATATATAATCTGTTAGAGGCGGTTGCCCTGATATTGCTACTAAGTCCTGTATATGTAAGTTGTAATACTGTTGAATGAAATAGTTGTTTTTCTCCAAATCCCAGTAGGCTCAGCCTTCAACAATACATGTCTGGATTAATTATTATCTTCTAAGTTTGCGCGTCATCAAATTCCTTTTCAGTTTAAAATATATATATTTTTTGAATCTGAACAAATTGATCAAATAACAGAAGAGACAAGCATAACACAATCATCGATCCCATCCCATCTAGCAAATATCCTTAATTTCACAAAATTTGCATAGATATTATGTTTGAATCATGTTGTGTTAATGGATCAAATTGAAAATTTGTTATACATTTTGTTGTAAAAATATCATTATTTATTTGTATATATGTTTGCAATTGACTCAAATGAACGATTAATTAATTAATAAAAAAAAAAAAAAAAAAACAACCATACTCTACATCTTCTCAGAGTAATTTGACATGAGAGTCAAATACTATATAAATTCTTACAAGAAACACTGACATTTTGCATTCAAACCCGAAGCAAGCTAGCTATCATTTGTAATACATGACAGGTTTATTGGAATTGAAATCCCACATGCCTCCTTCCTTAAGATACTCAAGATACCTTGCAAATTCAGGCCTAGCTGTTGTTTTCTTTTTTCTACGAAGAGCCAAGAAGCTTAGGAGTGGGTGACTCTTCTTGTCACTATTATTATTAGCCTTCTTTGTGGGGTTTCTCTGAAGATTGATGTCCGCTAGAGGCATTTTTCTTGAAGAATTGGATCCCCAAGAAGGCAAACTTGTGCTCCTCTTGAACCCCTCATTCAAAAGTGCAGTGGTGGCTGATTCTTTACCTAATCTCTCGTACCTCCCAGGGCCTCTCCGAGTGCTTATGGATCTCAACATGGTTGAACTTGGATCCTGTTGTGTGAAGAAATACAAGATTTTGATTGATGTATTCACAGTGCTAAGAGGTGAGAGCAAAAGGGTTGATCGGGATTGTAGTTGTAGATGAGATAACTTGGACACATAATGGAGGGCTTTATATATGCATCTATGTGGTCAAATTTGGTTAGCTAGTCCTTCATGTTTTTTTATTCAATAACATTAATATTTCATGTTTTGAATGTTTACTTCACCCCTGTGATTTGAAACTTTCAGTTGTGCAGCTTATGTTGACTCTTTCTGCCCCTCCCCATTATAAAATTTATATCCATTTATCAAGTTGTGCGTATATATATGTCGACTACAACCAAAGTACATAAAAATTCATATCCATTTAGCGAGTTATGTCTGTATGAGAGCACATTTGACTTTTTTTTTTTTTTTCCTTCATAGACCTTTGAGTACTTCTTCATATATAAAAGTCTGGATTTTAATTTATTTTCTTCAATTTCAATATTTATTCGTATTAATTCCATTAATGGTATTTAATACCATTCACCAAATGTTAATACCATGGAGTTGCATGCAAAAAATAATAGCATCAAGTATATAAATTAATGAGAATAAATTGTTTTAATTTAACTAATATTCTTAAGTTCAAGTCTTGAAATCGAGTTACTTAAAATATTTACAAAGAGAATTTTATCATTAAGAGTAATTTTATCCTATTTAAGCAAAATTGTCTGTAATAATTTATTAAAAAAAAATGAAGTTTCCTCATGATCTTATTATATCCGATAAAAACAACTTTGTAACCTTACTAAAGTCATAGTATGCCCTCAAGTATCAGTATCCTCGATCTCTCTTAAGTTCACTCATTCACAGTTTGATCACTTTCTGTTCATCATAAAAAAAAAAAAAAAAAAGGTTCCTCAATTATAACTCATTTAGTCATTCTCACCGGAAATTCCGCCTCTGAAATTGACTTAGTCGAGCAGTCTGCATTTTGGATTAAAGTTAAGCGAGACCCTCAAGTATTTTCTTGGTTTTGAGATCTCTCAATCTCATAAATGATTCCATCTATGCAATATGCTCTAAATATCCTGTCAAATTATGGTTTCGTAGCTGTTAAATCCTGTGTTACTATCATAAGATCAAAGGCAACAAGTTACTCTATGAAATTGATGCTCTTCATATGATCCAATTATTAGGTCGTCTTCTCTATACCTTACAACCACTTGACCTCTTCGTGCTAGTTTCTTCATCCTGATTTTTTAACTAAGTCACTTGAGTTTATTAATTACTTTATGAATTTTATTTCCAAATTGGGAATGTTATCAATCCAATCTCCAGCTTAGGGGGGGTGTTATTAGGATCATAAATAAAAGTAGTTTTAACAGTTTATTTGCTTTCAATTGTACATTTAAATGAAATATTTATTTTTCTCCGAATTTCTATAAGCTTAGCCTTCAATAATATACATGCATGTATGGAGGTGTTAAAAAAGAATAATATACATGTCTGGATTATCATCTTATAAGTTTGCGCGTCATCAAATTCTTTTAAGTTTTAAAAAAAGAAATATTTGAATCTAACGCATCGCATTTTTTAATTCCTCAAAATAGTCAACTAACTTCAATTGGCTAAAATATATAAGATGCATGGTGACTGACTGGTAATATAAGCAATAGGATTGTATCTCATTGTCCATATTGAGTAAATTGATAAGAAAAATGATATACATATATGAATTTATCCAATATTATTATATTTTAAACTTTTTTCTCTTCGCTTTTTTTTTCCCTTTTTTAATTTAAAAATTTGTTGTAGAAATATCATCTCTCAAATAATAATTTTAGCTTTTTTGAGATAGCTCCTACTGTAATATCCCATACCCATCTTGAGTTCAGGCAATTAAACGTAGTCAGAGCATTATTATTGCCTTTAATTTCACAATGTATTAAACACAAATCAATATCAAGTATCAACCCAGTTAAAAAAAAAAATCCGAATACCATCTCATCGATCTCCAATCCGGAACACAACTTCTTCATATTACAAAGAACCTATAGAGAACAGGCCGGCTGATGAACTTTGTATATATATGTATATGTTTGCAATTGATTCAAATGAATGATTAATTAATACAAAAAGTAACTATCCTCTACATCTTCTCAAAGTAATTTGACATGAGAGTCAAATACCATATAAATTCTTGCACGAAATAATAACATTAATTTTGCATTCAAATTAACCAAAAGCAAGATAGGTATCATATGTAATGCATGACGGGTTTATTGGACTTTAAATCCCACATGCCTCCTTCCTTGAGATACTCAAGATACCTAGCAAATTCAGGCCTAGCTGTTGTTTTCTTTTTCCTACGAAGAGCCAAGAAACTTAGGAGTGGGTGACTCTTCTTTTCACTATTATTAGTCTTCTTTGTGGGGTTTCTCTGAAGATTGATATCACCAAAAGTGGAACCTAGGGCCATTTTTCTTGAAGAATTGGACCATGAAGGCAAACTTGTGCTCCTCTTGAACCCCTCACGCAAAAGTGCTGTGGTGGCAGATTCTTTACCCAACCTCTCATACCTACCAGGGCCTCTACGAGTGCTTATGGATCTAAACATGGTTGAACAACTTGAGTAGTTGTGTGGAAGACAAGATTTTGATTGATGTATTCACAGTTTGAGAAGGTGAGAGCAAAAGGGTTGGTGAGGAATATTGAAGATGAGATAGCTTGGAGTAGTACATAACACAATGGAGGGCTTTATATATGCCTATATGAGGTCAAGTTTGGTTAGCTAGTTATACTTTGGTGTTTCATGTTTTTTTATTCAATAATATTAATATATCATGTTTTGAATGTTTGCTGCACTCGTGTGATTTGGGAACTTTCTGTTGTGCAACTTATGTTGACTTTTTCTGCATGTCCCCACAATGATGAAGTTGTGAAGCATATGTACACTACCACGAAAGTGCATAAAAACTTCTCTCATTCCCTTGTATAGTTTGTGAAAACGACGTTTTAGTTTTTCTTTGGCATGCCAATCTTGATTTTCTCAGTCAAATTGCCCCTCGGTTATCACACCTATAACACTATCCGCCATTTTAAATTTTGTAATGCCTGCAACATGAGACATTGAAAGAATCAAGTTTGAATGAGCAGATAATATAAAAAATGTTGAGGAATTAATTGGTCTTACTTCTTCCCTCAACTTTTGGAAAATTCTAAACAATACTTTTTTAATTAAGTAGGTTGTTTCTTAATTTTGTAATCATGACGTTTAAGATTGAATCAGGCTAAACTAAATGCATCGTTATCATGAGTGTAGATAGGGAAACGAGGAAAAGATAAGCTCATTTGTGGAGGCAAAATGGTACAACTGCTCAACGAAATTGAACTTTTACAGCTGCAGCTGCCTATACGATCTGTGTCGAAAGCAGACTTTGTGTGAACGTTCCCTACCACTTCGACTATATATATGGATCCGTTCTTTACTATATTGTAGAATGTAGAGTACTTTTTGTGTGTGACTGTAAAATCCACACCAATGAAAACCAAATTGTTAAGTGTGTGTGTTTATATGTATTAGGTAACACACCTGCCGCGAAAGACTACAATGATTGAGAGTCTTGCCCCCTTATTTAGTTTTAATTTTAAAGTTTTTAATCTATATTGACATATATAGAAGTGATAGACTAATTTGATATATATACATATTTTTTTAAATAATAAAAATAATATTAAAAAATTATTATTATTACAAATAAAAAATTCAAATTTAAGATTTTGAAATTTAAAGATGGAGCACAATGTCAATTCATCTAATAAACATTAATAATTTTTAAATATTTTTATTAAATAAAATATAAAGATACAAAATATTTCGATCTTACTAGTATATATAATATTAATATTATATTAATTATTTATATTGGACAGTTTGGTTATGAAAATAATTATATTTAATGTTATTTATTTATTTTAAATTTTAACAAAATATTTTATTTTCCTTTTTATAGTATTTCTTAATTTTCATTGCAAAGATAATGATATTCCTTTTCTCATACAAATACATTTTTCTATTTTTTAGTGAAAATAATTAAATTTATTAGATTCAATATTTGAGTATTATTTATTTCTATCTTTAATATTTTTAAATTTATTATTTTTATAATTATTTTAAAGACTATCAGTGATTTTTTTTTTATGATCAAATGACTTTATTATTCATCCTATGTAGGACAATGACCAATTGACCATTGCCACAATAAACATTCTTCTTAACTTCTATTATAAATTTATGAAAGTTTTCGGTAGTACGAGATTCTCCGATGATTAATATTCGTAATATTGGGTCTTAAAAATAATAGATGTTTAATTTTTCTTATATATATATTTTATTTTAATTGACCCCTGCTATTCACACATGGTTCCGTACCAGCAAATGAGCAGCCATAGTAAGACTTTTATGGAAAAACCCCTCCGTACTGTCCAATATTTGTACATTATCTTTCAATGGTTACTGTACATTGATCTTTTACCTAGAAATTAGAACATCACTGTTGATAACAAATGCATTTGCAATGATCGTATTTTGAAATGACACGATTCCCATGTTGACTTAGCTACCTCATGTTCTAAGCTCGATCACTAGTATATCATCACGTTCAACCTAGCTAAGTAATATTGAATAACTAAGCTTGTAGCAACCTAATTAGCACCTTCATGAATAATGCTATTTGCTCAAGAATTGTACAACATTTATGAAACTGTTCCTAGCTTCCTTACCAACCCTTCTGTTTTGCCGCACGATGCTTTTTGGTTGAGCAACACAATCCAACCTTCTAACTAATGATTTTTCTTTCGTATTAATATACAAGTATTTTGCAACTCTTATATATTTTTATTGTTATTGGGTTATAAGCTGCATTAGATTCCTTAAAACAATTTATTTTTTCTGCTTATTTCAACTTAAATCGTAGCGCATAAGTCCAATAATTTGTGATTATCCTCTTAATTCAGGGACTAAAAACTAACCGAGTGTATGCATGATTATCCTATCTTAAATGACTTTTTCTTGCGCATAAGTCTCCCAATATATATCATAAATCTCTTGACAAAAAACCAAAGAACAAGATTAACGAGATAATTTACAACCGAAAAATTAGTATAAAAGAGAGAAAGAAGAGTAATTTTGTGAAAGAAGTCGAATAACTTTTTCACAAATAACAAAACTATATATTAGATTGATAATAAACATTAATAATAAAATATTATCTATAACATTTTAACAATATATAGAAGGAAAAAAATATTATCCTTTCATGTCCAAATTTTTCAGACATTTATACCTCCATTAATTTATACCTCTCTATTGTGTTCTAACTTTTCTTGCTAATATATTTTTTTAAGATAAAATAAGAGAAAAATGTGTATAAAAATAAATACTCGCTTCAAAGACACCGAGTGTCTTTTTCTATAAAAGTTAATAACAATTCACATTTGCATAAAATGGTATCATTGTAGGGACATTGGCATGACAATAACATTAAAATGTTGCCAAAGAAAAGATAATAGCATTAAAAACGTTACAGTAATTAAAACGTTAAAAAAAAAATAATAAGATACGACAACATTAAGAAAACAGTTATCGATTACAAAAAGTCACTAAAAACAGTTATTTTGGATAAACTTGTTTCAATGCTCAAAATAATTATTAAAAAAAACAATTTATGATTAAATACGTTTAGTTCTTAAACTTTTGTTAAATTTTATTTTTAGTCCTTAAAATTATTATCGTAAGAAAGAGTTTAAAGACTAAAAGTAAATATCGAGAAGAATTCAAAGGCTAAAATTTGTAAATATAAAAATAAATATTAAATAAGAATTTGTAAAAATTCAAGGACTAAAAACACTTAGGAGGTGTATTGGATTAGGATTTTAAAGGATTTTTTTAGTTGAAAAAAGTCATGTAAATTTTAAAAGACTTTGCAGAATTTTCATGACTTTTAAAATTTTGTAGGATCCCATAAGACTTTCAATCCGGATTTTAATGGACTCTGCAAGACTTTTAAGTTAAGATTTTAATGGATTCTGCGGGACTTTGTGAATTTTGTAGAATTTTGTAGATTTTTGACATAGGATAAGAGTTCAATATTTTTTTTATACATTCAAATTTAAAAAGAGTCAAATATAAAAATAAATAAAAAAAATAACAATGTCTAGATAAATAATAATAATAATAATAATAATTCTCCGTAATCTCATGTCCTTTTAAATAACATTCACCCACATCCATAGCTATACTAGTCCTCTAAACATTAACATCTTTTCGCTTTTACTCCTGAATTTTAATAATAGGCTCAAAATTATTATTTTTATTAACCGGTAATGTTGAAAATGAAGGTTCGTCCACCACTCCAATTGAAAATTCATTAGAATGACATTCTTTACGAAGAAAGTTATGTAGTGCTACACATGCTAAAAATTATTCTAAACAAAATTTCAAATTTTTTATAATTTGTGATTTAAAATATTTTATTTATAAATGATTAAAAAAATAGTGGGACAGTTATCCTACCATCTTATAACTAAATATATCATTCATTTTATATTGATACTAAAGTAGAAATTTATAAACATCAACTAGGAGAAAAAAAAAATATCTGAAATTTGTTACAAATACAAAATAATTTTTAATTTTTTAATTATTTTCAATTATTCAGTCGTGAAGAAATATTTTTAATATTGAATTCTATGTCTTATGTTAATTTTCTTTTTAAAAATATAAAAAATCCTAATTTCACAATATTAAAATAAAAAAAAAATTATAGTAAAATAAAAAAGAAATAAAATAATTGTTGAGTCATAAAATGAGAAGGATAACGGTAACAAATTCAAGAGAGAGACCGTAGTTTTTGTGCTAAAAGGGTTCTTCCCCCAACAGAGATCCATTTTTATCTCATTTTACTCACAGAAACCCTAACTCAAATTCATCTTATATTTATATAAAAAGATCTACGGTTGATTATAGAGATCATGATATCTATTTTAACTTTCACTTTTATCTTTTCTTAACGCGTGTTATAAAAAAATTATTACTTAAAAGTTAAAATTTCAAGCATTTTCTATGTTATATAATTGAAGAACAATCTCAACTAATAGAACAAGTTAATTAAAAAAAATGGATAGAAAAATATTATAAGTCAATGACACTATCATTTTCGTATAGAAATTTCGCCAAATATGAGAATGGAATAAGAATAATAATACAGTATTATATATGAGCAATAGTGTAGTATTATTACAAAGAAAAAAAATGGAGAAGACATAAGCATAGGAAAAAAAAAAGAGATGAAAAACTAACTTGAAAATTCTTGAAGCACTTGAAAAGTTACTTCAAACAATCCTCCAAAATCTGAAGGGTTTGGATGAGATTGTTCTATGAACTTTGTATTTATAGATACTACTAAAAAGTCCTTCAAAATTCCTCTAATACAACAATTCTTTAAAATTCCTATATTTTTAAATATCAATAGATTATTTTTAAGTTGTAAAAAGTCTCAAATGAATATCATTGAATTTTAATGGACTCTTTAAAAAATTTTGAAAATCCATATTGAATACTACTGAATTGTTTTCAAGTGACATAAAATCCTAATCGAATAACGATGGACTTTTTTACTAAAAAAATCTTTTAAAATCCTATGTAATCCTAAACCAATACGCCCCCCCTAATCCATTAATTTAACCCATAATGAAAATTCTTTTAAGCTACTTAAGGTTAGATTCGTACTACAGGTCCTCAAGGTCCAATCTTATGCATAATGCTGAGATAATAGAACTGGTTAAAAACACAGAATATGGCTAGACTAAATTCCCACTCATCCACATGACCGAACTCCGTTTATGTTGTTGATCAGATTAATTGCCCAAACATGTTTGATCGACATCAGACAATATATAAAGCGTAAGCAGTTTTAAAATTTTACATGACTATCACTCGTTATTTTATGGTGAGTCATACAAGTAACACCACCCAACCCTGCTTGAAGTCTCTTAATGGCAACTAACCTTGGGAAACGACACAATGATCGAAAGTGTGATCCACAAATTTGTCTTACTAAACTTACATCCAGAAGCATTCAGCCAATTTCACACAGATTCATGGTATTTATATGATTATATCCTTAAAAATGATTAAGATTTAGAACAGGGATTCCAAAAGCTTCTTTGGTCATATAAATGCAAGCCTCTTCTATATGCCTGTTGGTATATCTATTTACTCTTTCATTTTTGCTTCACGTAGGATGAATATTTTTTACATGTAAATATTTAGGGATAAATAATATTACAAAACGTGGACAATGATAAAATAATGAGGTATCCGACCTCAGGATCCCACATCGCTAGGTAAGGGAACTGCTCTTTAGCAATGGGACATGTTCAAAAACAGAACAGGGTGTGCTATCGCTCTTCTGAGTTGAATTTGTTCCAAGCTTCCTGGATATTGAAAGGGGAGAAAGGAAAAAGGAAAAGAAAGAAAGCCAAAATGAGAGGTCGGTCATAATAATCAATTTGTCTATCCAACTTGAACGTTTTATCATCAAAATGAGGGGGTATTGGATAGACCATCTTGCCAAGAAGTAAGAAACAAAAGACCAGAACAAAGAACATTTATTGGCATTCAAACTCGTGGTAGGAGGTTTGGTAAAAAGTGCCCGATACCAGCCTCAGTAAGCACATGAGCATTTATCAGCGTGCTTGTGTATTTGCATACTTTCATATGCTAATGTGTTTGCATGTGACGGGCATGTGCACTTGATAGATTTAAAGTTCTGCAACAGCATTATGTTTGCTCCGGAAAACCTTATTCATTCCAAATCCCCCTACGCACATGGTTAAAATAAATAAATCAACTGAAAGATGGCATGCATGACGTACCTTTAGGAGATCAAAGACTTTTTCACATATATATTTGTGTTGAATACTTGCTCCACGTTGCTGTAATTTGTCAGGATGCACGCAAAGGGTGGCCTTTCTGTAAGCTCTCTTTACAGCAGCAGAAGTAATGACATCCGTGAGTGGGATTGGCTGCCACCCACTATCAGGCCCAAGAATCTGACAAGGTACAAAGATTAGATAAGGAACCACTTCTAGAGTCTATAGTTACTCAGGAAAAGGAATGGACAATGATGACAAATGTTCCAAACAGGGGGTGGGAGGGTGCAAAGAGTCAGAAACATTAGGAATCAGGATTAAGCTACCAATTCAGTCTCATCAGTTTGAGACTTGTTTACTGGCCTTCAAATCTATGCCCTTACAGTGAGTAAAAAGAAGTTGGGACTAAGAAGAAAAAGGAGCAACTTATGAGTTACATCAAAATACACAAACCTACATATTGCAAGGTTGAAAGTAATGCGCGCAAGTTTCCTTCTTTTCCACTTGACCACCTCCTCACTTCAGTATCAAGGGTCTCAGCTAACCTCTGCAAACAGTATAAGACTGGAGTAATCAGCAAATTGTGGAAACAACGATTCAAAGCTAAAAAAGAAAAACTGTTTGAAACTCACATTTCTTTCAGCTTGCTCCTTTTGAGCAATGCGGTCGCGCATGTTCTTTTCTTCCAAAGCTTTTGCCTTATATTTCCACAAAACTCACGGTCACTATCATTTATTTAAGAATTACATTTTATGTATAATTAACATAACAAGGTTGAAGATCTTACTGCACGCTCAGCTGTTCGTTGATGCCTCTCCAATCTAGCTCTACACCTCTGAGCTGATTCACCTTCTCGTTCTGATCTTTCAGTAAAAGAGGAAGCTTCAAGTAAAGGATAATAATACCAGGTTAGGATTATATCAAGGGGAAGCAGTAAAATGATGGATTGAAAGTTTATACTAAAGTACTGCAGGGGTGTGTCACATCACATACCACCATAAACTGAGGAATATGGATATCTGGAATGAGTGGCGGAGCTATAGTTCTGACAATGTGGATCCAGCATATCCTGCCACGCAATTATAATAATTAAAAATTCAGTAGGCAATTATGCAATTTATCACTTGCAGATTTAAGTGGATACTTACGGAGGATGATGAGCCCTGTCTTCCATCACTTCTGAAAGAAACACTAAATTTGTCAGAGACAGATCTCGCTAATCGCTCTCTGGACTCAAATGCAGCCCTCTCAACCTTTACTTTTTCCATTGCACGCTCTCGAGCCTCTGCAGTTGCTCTTTCTACAGCAGTACGCTCTGCTTTCAATCTGGCTTCTGTAGCTGCCTTATCAGCATATGTTTTGTCCCTGGCCTCAGCACATGCCTTTTCAAGTCTTTCTCTAGCCTCAGCCAGTACTCTTTGTCGAGCTTCTGCAGTTTCTCTCTCAAATGCAGCCCTTTCTGCTCTCTCACGAGCTTCAGCATATGCTCTATCACGAGCCTCCAAAGTTGTTTTATCAACAGCCATCCTATCCTTTTCTCTTTCC